ATTTGAGCGAGAGATTGCCAGATCTTTTTCCACCTCCAGAAGAGGAATCAAGTCAAATTGAAGCAGAAGATGTCACAAAAGACACAAGATGATTTGAACTCTGTATTGAACTTTACCGGTAAAGCAGTCAGTGCATGTTTTTGTATGAAGTCTTTGAGATAATGTTAAAAGACTGAGCTTTTGGTATTGATTTAACTATGTTAATTCATGTTGTATTCGAAGTCTTCGAGATTCTGGAAAGACCATCCACATCCAAGAGAGGATCCTATTTCATTTTGTCTGTTGTTTGAGCATGGATGTGCAAATGGTGGGGAATTTCTTTTCAGAAGTATTTTGTCAGCTGGCTGGTTAATTTGTATGGGCAATATACAAATCATATAATATTTGATATAATTTTATACCTAACAGAAAAATTAACATTTCCATATGATATAATTTACATTTAATGTAAATTAATAAACCCTGCCCCCAGCACCCTTTGCATAAATATGAATTTAAAAAAAATCTGAGTGTTGGACATGTAGAAACATTGATTTATGTGTACTTTTTGTGTTTGCAATCATTGTGATTACAATGCAAGAATGCAACAAGGCCCTCCCAAAGTGGATCGATATAGTGTTTATATTTCCTTTTACTACAATAAGCTACTGTAATACTTGGCTACAGTTCACCATTATTTAAAGTGAACTTAGATAAGGTGACACTAAGAAGTTAAGATAAGAAGTGTGGAAGGGACTCTAATGGGAGGCTGCCTCCTTGCTACACTCTATACTGTATATGAAAACGTAGAGCAAAGCTCCTTTCTGATTCTGCATACCGGTAGATTGCTTACTTTTATTTTACAGGCAATAACCATCCAGGTATTGTTAAAAAAAGAAAGATAAATACATTATCCAATAGTTGTATACATGCAATATCAACGTACTATATGTATTTGATTCAATTTTTCTTGTATTTCACAGCAGGGCTCATCTATAACTGAAAACCTTTATTGCCCATTTGCATATACATGTACATCCAAATTTCTATCTGTTATGCCTGACCAAGTGTTTTGGTGGCCTGGGATTCCTGTATACAGTGTACATGTATCATTGTTAAAATGGAGTTACAGGTTTTACTACATTTACATGTACCAATCAAACAAAATGAATGATCTTGGTTGTTAACCTGGGTCTTGGGCCTTGTTCATTAAACTTGTTATCAATATCAATTATAATAATTTAATTTTACAAGCTACTGAAATGTTTGAATTTGATTGGCGAACTTGTTGTAGGTCTGTGGCAGCTGTTATTGATAACAAGTTTCATGAAATAGGGCCCTGGACCATTTTGAGTGGAAGGGGGTGGGTTTGTCACTTTGTTAGATTTTGATAAGTTGGACAAAACTTTGTAAGTTTCTACTAGGATTTCCATGACATTACTATACTCTGCCATCCAGCAGTACATGTCCTGAAAGGATTAGGAGCACTTCATGTTAAACGATCAATCTGGATTGCAGCTGCACACTGCAGATGCGTGAAATTGATTTTTGTTAAGATTCATAGCGTTTTTGTGGTTCACTCATGATGTTGAATTAAATGAATCAAAGTGATCAAACCAGCTTCTCTATTTACATTTATTTGGATATTGACCCTGTAAGTAAGAGAGAGAGAGAGAGAGGGGGGGGGGGGGGGGAGTGGAGAGAGAATGGGGTGGATGGGGGGGGGGGGGGGGGGAGTGGCAGTGGGAAGGTTTAGAAAGGAGACCGACACGAGTGTTGGGTTATACCATGGACCCTACTAGATGCCATCCTCTTGACACACACACAAAAACGGGCTGAATATCCTTTTTAAAATCAGATTGTTATGAAAACTCGACACTACCACTGGCCCGTCGGCCTCGGGCCATTAAAATATCAGAAAAATGTTTTACTCATAAGAACGGTCAAGTAAAATGTTTGCTCTTTCATTAACACTTATTAGAATTTGAGAAAATTGTAAAGCACCAGTATAATTCTTATGCAAAAAGGGTGTTTAAAACTTTAAATGCATAATGAGAATAATGATACAACTTGATTGCTGACATCTTTTGGGCCAATGAAAATTTGGTTCAAGCCTGAAGTAGAAGTGAGGAAAAATAACTGTAAGGACTTGCATTATACTCGTGGAAATATGTGCCACATTCCTGTTAACTGAAATTATAAAGAAAAACAGGTGTCGGATAATTCAAAAAAATAAACGGCGACAACAAGTTATTGTATTTCACTTTTTGTTTTATCGTACTAAAAAAAAAAGTTACTGTTTGGCATCTGTGTACATATATTATAGAACAATATTCGATCTTAAAATGTCATGTAATTCAATTGAATTTCTTTGTCGGGGAGAAAAGAACAAGATATTTTCTATCAGTGTCTAAAAGAATTGAGGGGGGGGGGGGGATATTCTTCACACAGAAAGTGGTGAAATTAAAAAGATGGGGCACAACAAGTTGACAAAATAAGTACCAATTGTATGGTATGTTATTTAATGGGTCCTCCACCTTCCTACAGGGTTCACAACCATAATAGAATTGTGATATAAATGACTACATGTTTCAGATCAGGGGGTGCATAATTGGCCCATTGCCCTATATTTTTAGAGCTTAAAATTAAATACTGAAATACTGTACACAAAATTTGTGAGCCATTTCAATGCGTGTCCTTATCTCCTTATCTAATTTAAGACCCCGCCATGTTTTTTTATTTTTTTTTTTACTTGCATGGGATCTTTTGGAATTGCACCACCCCTTCCCCCACTTTCATAGAAACTTGGATGCCCTCATATGTTCATGAAAAGACAGAAAGATAGAGAGAGAAGGAGAAAGGGGGGGGGGGGGGGGGAGAAAGAGGAAAGAAAAGGAAAGCCATTTTGCCGATTTAAGAGCATACATATAACTAGAAACAAGGTCTTCAGTTCATTTCCTTGATCCAAAGAGATTGTGTAAACAAATTAAAAAATACATGTACAATGTAAATGCTGATGATTATAATGGGCATGCATATAGCATCACATAATCAGTATGGTTAAGAACCAGTGTTGGCATACGGACGGCGGGAAATAAGCGGTATTTATCGGGAAATATATTTTTCCACTCACTTGTTCATAGCCATATATAGGCATAGTCCAATTTTGAACATAATAACAATGGTATCGAGTATGGTTGCTCTGGTGTGTACTATTTGTGTATGTGTGTTTGGGTGTGTACATGTATGCAGTGTAGATTTTATAAATCTGTTTGTGTGTTTCTACTCCGAGTGTTGCTAATTATTTCAGAACAATATTTTCAGTTGTTGAGGCTAAAAACAAGTAAAATTATTAATAAATAGAGAATTAAAATCATATTTCCCGTTTTTTTACATATTTACCGGGCGCCCATCTTATTTACTGGACGGTATTTACCGCCCAACCCTTTTAAGAACTACTCGAGATCATTTTTTTTTTGCTACTACAAAAATTGAGTTATTGTCTTCTGAAAAAGAGGACAAAAACTGTATCCAGCCGGCTATACTTTCCCCAATAAATACATTTAAGTGCATGTTAAAATGAAATCTTCTCATCTGGAAATTCCCAAAATCTTAAGAAATTTTTATTTTGAGAAATGGCTTTATTTAGTTTATTTACGTACAGGAAATACAAGGAAGAGTGAGAATTTGTGGCTTTCCGCATACAGTACATGCATTTTGTTCTTAATGACTAACCATGGACTTAGTAAGTCCATGGACTAACACTTCAAAGTACATGAACATGTACAATGGAACATTTCTCTTATGAACTCCTGGAGAGTTGTGACTAAAGAAATTGCCTTTTACAAGTGAAATATTGAAATCGTGCCAAAACAAACAAATAATTTGGCAAGCAAGATCACTTCTTGCATTTTTCTTTGTTCTTTTATGAGGTTCCACTGTACAGACACGCATGTTCATCACACATCAGTAGACAGACACCTTTGATAATAGGGACTTTTAGATGTCACACGTCGCAGTCCACGTTCTAGTCGTGCAGATCTAAAAGTCACTAACAACTCATCAGAAACTACTCAACTCTGCAATCACATTTATCCTCCTATATCACCTCAAAGAAACACAGTCAATGCACTTTCAGATATTCTTACAAATTAACCAATTACATGAACTCCCAAACTTCACTGAATGCAGATCCAAATTTCAAAATAAGCATTGCACAATTTTTTGTTCACACTCCAGAACACAAATTCAGACCCAGATTTCAAATAAGCAACACACTGAGACACATTCATGTATGATCATTTGTTTCTTTGCACTTTAGTGTCTAACCTCTCAGGGGTTGTTTCATGAAGCTGTTAATAAAGTTACGCATGACTTTACAAAAGACGTGAATACGAGTGCCAGATAAGATGCCCAAAGTTTTTTCAGATGTTTTAACAAAGTGTGACAATATTTAACCTCAATTAAATTATGGCAAAAAAACATACTTTGCATTAAAAATGTTTGTTACAATAAGAATGCTAATCTACATGTACATCTGCACAGTTCAACTTTAGATGATGCAGTTGAAAAATGTTAAGCATCCCATTTGGCTTTTCATATTTAAGTCGTTCGTAACTTAACTAACAGATTTATGAAGAAAAAAAAACCGGAAATTTTGTAGGCTTATCCATGTACATACAACTGAGACAAGGCACCAACCAAATACTGCTTCAGCAAACACTCCCAAACAGACAACCGACTAAAGATTTTCTTCAGTTTGATGGAATTCGTTGTTTCACTTTTTGTGGGTGATGTCCGTCTCCTCGGTGCTACAGTCACTGCCTTAGGCTTAGGTATGAATTAAAATTTAAAACTGAAAACAAAGTAATCAGACATTCAGTTCAGCAACACATACATACCTCACTACTTACACTATTAAAAAAATACAAATTGAAACCTTTGTTGTCGCCCATTTTTTTTTTATTACATGAAAACACAATTGAACATATTTTTGTTATGAAGGACATAAATTTTGGTCTTTACTCCCCCCCCCCCCCCACAATAAAGTTTACATTCAAATACAATAGTTGTTGTATCTCTTCAAAATAAGCCCACACCCCCAAAAGTTATCAGAAGTAAATGTAGTAACATCAAATTAGCATTTCTGAATTGAAAGTAAAGTAAGTTTATTGTTTCAGTGACCATTATTTTGTGTCTGAACTATGTAGGAAGATTTTTATGTTAGATTCTGTTTGTATCATAATTTGTAAGAAATTTTTGGTTGAGTTTAATATAATGCATTGGGTCATTTGGGTGACATGAAAAATTAAATTTATATATAAAAATGCTGGGCTAGATAGAGGTCAGAGTTGAAAGGGGCATAAAAACTTGATTGCATGTACAACAGTCTAACAAATTACACAATTTCAACTACATGTAATTGATAAACACCACTGAAACACTTCACCAAAATTCTTTAAATATAAGTTACAACAACAATAATAAAAAGAAACATACAAAATGTCACATGGCTAAAAAAATTCACCAATCCCTGATGATTGAATGAATGTTGTACAGACACGATTCAAGTGATTCGTCATCACACAAAGTCCACAATGACGAGAACAAGATCAGTTTTCTTGGTGGTAGGCATACATAATATTTATCATAATTTCTCCACAGTGCAGAACAAACGACCTTTTCTGTTTTGTACTGGAGGGTTTTTGATCAAACACCCTTTCAGCAATATTTGCCTGAAGTCTGGTAGATATGACAGACTATTAAAGAGAAAGATGTGCTAATCATCCTTATTCGTTTGTTCTGCACTGTGGGTAAACTTGTCGAAAACATTTGGTCTTCTTTACCAATCCGATTGTGAACAATGTGGAGGTCTGCAACAAACTTCAGAATGCAGCGTACATGTGTTATGTGATTTGCTCGTTATGAAGCCCTGATTATGAAACATCTGGAATCGTCTCTTGAATACTGCCTTCTGCGTACGGTGTTGCTAATCCGATATTAAAAAGGGGGAGGCAGGACCCAGCCCCACTGCCCATCTTAGTGCCATCTACTTTACTTGTTTTTGCTTCATTTATGTATATACAGGTTCACACTAAATGACAAGGTTCCAGTTTATGCACGTTCACCACGGATTCTCCTGGCCAGTTGAATGTCCTTGGGCATGATTGTGACTCTCTTAGCGTGGATAGCACACAGGTTGGTATCCTCAAAGAGACCGACCAGGTAGGCTTCGCTGGCTTCCTGCAGAGTCAGAGGCAAATGTGGTATAAAAAGAGTTAGATTACTTTGGAGTCTAGGATTTCATAAACAAAAGTAAAATCAATTAAGGACATGTTACAAAGAAGAAAAAAAAAGGCTACTATGAACTTGAAATCCTTATATTTTTGCAGAGAAAATATTTCTTCTTGAATAATCAGGATAGGGGGGAAATGTGCTGTAAAAGAGCTACACAAAAGCATTCGTAAAATATTTCAATTTTTTTTCTTCCTATCACCGGTAACAATTTATAGTCAAAAATACATTTTTGAAGGTTTAACCACATTCCCCTGCAAACCCCCCCCCCCTGAAATTCTTTTCTAGATCCTTGGGCCCTTTTAACGGGTGAGAAATTTGCACCAAAGGAGAGAAAAATCTGCTGTTAAAATGAAGCTGCAGTGGCTTACCTGAAGAGCGCCAATGGCAGCACTCTGGAACCTCAGCTCAGTCTTGAAATCCTGGGCGATTTCACGAACCAAGCGCTGGAATGGTAGTTTACGGATGAGCAACTCTGTGCTCTTCTGGTAACGCCTGATTTCACGGAGAGCGACGGTACCGGGCCTGTAACGATGAGGCTTCTTCACGCCTCCGGTTGAGGGCGCACTTTTCCTGGCTGCTTTTGTGGCCAGCTGCTTACGGGGAGCTTTACCTCCGGTGGACTTACGAGCGGTCTGCTTAGTACGGGCCATTGTTTAGCTGTAGGCATAATAAAAGAAAAGGAAAAAAAAAGGTATGCATAATTTATCAGAATAAAATCCAAATATTTTTTTTATAGTGTACATAAGTAGGGTGCAAATTAAGGCTACGTTATATCGATATCATATTTCATATTCGTCTAACTGCAGGGAGCTCCGCTTGAAACGATTTGAACCGCGGGTTGGGTCACATTTTTTTGAAATGTAAAGAAGTGGTAATTACAATGTTCCACTTCTCTAAGCATCTTTCCAACCACTTGAAATTATAATTTGAAGAAGTCTTATAAGGGAAAAACGGTGATTCCTCGCCCTAACCCAATTCATCTCATGTTGTATATCGTCGATTCAACTTGAAAGTACGCATGCGCAGTATATCTTTCTCTTTGTCATGTTGAATCAACGATATACAACATGGGATGAGGAATCACCCTTTTTCCCATCGAAGACTTCTTCAAATCATATCTAACACAGCCTCTAGAGCCCCGACGCCAGAGCTCCCTGGAGTTAACATTCACCTAGCCCTTGGCTTAAGAAAATAGTAATAGGGTGTCTGATCGCGCACTCGATGTTGTGTGCTAAAATCCTTCCCATAGATTGCAAGCATCCCTATGCAGCCTACATGTTCTTGCATTGCGCGATCATGCAAAATTGGTCAATGTTTTTATAACCAAATTGAGATTTGAACCTTTATTGTTCGTGATCCTGAAGGTGATACTCAATAAATGAGGTGTCTTATGAAAGAGCAGGTTTATCTCCATATTTCCGAAGGAGCGTCATCTCGGAATTCTAAAATATCTTGGTCAAAAAAAGTGATTAAACCACTAGACTGCGGATCACATACATGTAGGTGCTTTGTATGGGCATTGTACTTTCAAGACCATAGCACAGCAATGATGTTAAACAGGTCTTGAACAGTAGTTGGTGTTCTTGCCAAAAAAATCTGGCATTCTTTAACGACTATATATGTGTTCAGTTATGTAAGCTGTATGTATGTACTGAGCAAAAAAAACTTTCAAAATGGCGGCCCGCCGTTCACTTCGGAGTTGTAACAAATTGGATGATACATTTGCTTACAAAAGTGAAAGTGATTTCAGTGATTGCTCAGATATTTAAGAAGGCGAAAGGGAGTAAGGCTGTGCACAACCGTGTAATGAGGTACCCAAGTACACTCCCAGGCTTACAAGCGAATACGGTACACTAATATTCGGACGCCATGTTTTGTTTTTTTTGCCACCACCATACCACGGGAGCAGTATCCCAGGTCCGTCTCCGAAAACTCAAGCAATTTTACTTTGAGTTGCAGTTAAAGGCGCCGATTTAATAATAATAATAACAGTAAACAATGCTGTTTTAAAAACCAAAGATGGCAGAATAATCTATTTTCCTCCGAGTCCAAAAAGAAATTCGGACATTTGGTCCCAGTTTCTGAGTGGTGAGTTTGACAGTGATTAAGCTGGGAAACATTTTTACAAACGGTACCATGCCGGGGCAGGCGCTTTACCTGGCACGGCTAAGCGTTGGCCTGGACAGTGCCAGGTGACCATTTTTTTTTTTTTTTAGCGGCCGAATATTCAGGTATGAGAAATCAAGTAGTTGTAAACAGTGGGAGTACTCAAGTATTCGACTACTCGTTGCAGCCCTAGTACTAGGGAGTGATTTTGATAATGAAAGTGATGTTGTAGTCCCACTAATGGATGTTAGTGCGAGTAGCACAGGCAGGCGCGTAGCCAAGGGGGGGGGGGGGGGGGGGGGGCCCCCAAAAAAAAAGAGAGAAAGGAAGAGGACGTAGAGTAAAGTACCCGGTAATCGGTCAGCTCCGGTTTTCGGCCAATTGGTTGGATACATGGTAAAATCACTTTAAAATACATCGCATAATAGCATAACACATATCCCACACATACCATACCATGCCAGTGTCACTGAAGAACCACATTTGCAATGAAAAATATATCCTAAAATATCACATTTTAGCGATGTAATCGGCGGTCCCGCTACCCAAATCTGAAAAATCGAGTTTCTTACGCGTGTATGTAAGAAATATGGGTACCATAAAATGAGCTTTATTTCAAGTATTTTTCAGATATAGAGCCCGATTTTGTGCTGGTCGCAAGCTCAAAAGTATCTCATCGCATGTATTAAATCAATGCAGCCGCACACCACGACGCACACACGATATGTCTTTCTAATTCAGATTCCAACTTCCGATCACCGCTGTGCCTGTATTCGGCCAGGCGAGCACCCGGGAGCTCCGGCGTGGGATACCTGCTCCGCCCGCTTGTGCTATACATCAGCGCAGAAACGCACGGCGCGCGCGAGCGCTTCCTATTGACTTTGTACATGCGGCCGTAAACTGAAACGCTCGGCCGATAACCGGCTCCAAAACAGTGAAAATTGAAATGAATATTGTCATGGCAATTCGTGATTTTTTTTGGGGATTCTTTTTTTGTTTAAATAATAATAATATTTGCTTCATGATTTGAACAAGAAATGATAATAAATAGGAAGTAAAGAGTCCAATAAATAGGATTTTGTCTTAAGTGGCCGAAAACCGGGTACTTTACTCTAGGAAGAACAAGGATTAAGAGTCGAGAACGGTACAACGAATCGCCTTCTTTCTCTAATAATTCATAAAATGTCACAGCTTGGGGGGGGGGGGGGGGTGGGAACTGAATTCAGATAAGGATTTAGAGTCGAGAACGGTAAAACAAATGGTCTTCTCTCTCTAATATTTTAATGAAACGCCAAAGCTTCCGCTATGAATATTGCAGTTTTTGAGGGGCTTTTTTTCGCTCCTCAACCACGCACGCCCCCCTTGCGTAAAAGGGGATTTTGGGGAAAAAATGGTATTTAACAACATTTCCCCTTTTGAATTAGAAAAATTGGGAAATAATAGGGAAGAATAGAGAAAAAAATCAGTAGGGTCTAGGGTCTAGACTCTAAACTAAGTAAAAGAAAATATTTAAATTTTTTTTTTTTTTTTTTTTAAATCGGGAAACCGATTTAGAATCTTAACGCGGACAAAAATGAATTCTAAAATATTTCCCCTGATTTTTTTTTTTCGGCGCTCTGCTGGCTTTGGGTTCTCGATCTGCGCTGCTAATGCGAAAAACGGATTTCGCGTAGCCCTAGCTAATGAAATAGGTCTACCCACACTTCACCTTCTATTTTTATGGATTGTCCATCTTCCCGAGGATTTATCACTCACAACATGAAAGTCTCTGTAGAAATCTAGTCTACAAAGTCAATGTGAAATGCATCAAGTAAAATAACGTGCAGTCGGAAATCAGAATCGTCCCTAGATCTAGTCGGCGAAAATGCGGACGATCCTTATTTTGGTCGAAGCGTCCGTCTGTTTACGAAGATGATCTAGCCTATGTTTATGCAGACAATCCTTATTCTCGGACCAGCACCCCTCAAGTCTACTGTTGAACATGAATTGAAAATGGGAGGACAAACCGGGATTGGGTGTCTGAGAAAAATTCTCGACACCAACCACACTGACACTTGACAGGAGACAGACAGCAATGCAACTCTTCTAAAAGTAAAACTAGACTAAAGCTAAAATTGAATTGATCTATCAGCAAAAATGGAATGCAGGATTGTATAGACCTCTATATCTAGGCCTAGGGTCTAGATCTAAGTACAATTTACTAACTACAAACACAGCCACAGCCACAGCCATACCAGTTTACATGGTCAATGCCAATGGCATGCCACAATCAAACACCACGAAGGGCAACTAGCACGACGGGACGGTGAACCAGATGAATGGCGCGCGCTTGTTGAATCGTCTTGTCGGCTTGCAATTTTTTCAATATCCACATAAGTTTTAGCAAATTACATCTAAATCAAAGTTAATATCTACAAAACACCATGTAAAACACGTACAGTAAATCATGCTAAACTCATTCCTTAAATTAACGATTCATTAATCACATGAATTTCTCTAGAAAATGACCTATTTTTACTTACTTATCAGCGGGTTTCGTCGGAAATATTACGCGCCTTGTCGATACCAAAGAAGTGAGAAAACAATCAAAATAATCAAACGTGCTTTTATGTGTATGTGGAGTATGAATCGGAAATCCTCATTGGTTACTCAATTATGTCGCAATAAGAAGATATGTTATTGGCGTAGAGCCGGCAATATACTCATATCTGATTGGCTAGAAAAACCTACATTTGATTGGATATCGGGGCAGAAATAACTAAGACCGATTGGTCAATTTTTGAGCTATTTGATTGGCCAACACCCTTGGCCGTCCGATCCTTCCAAAAGGTCCAAGCTCGCCTATGGGACTTTACGTGTTAAACGCATAGATGGGTTGCGAAGATTTTTGTCGTCCGCTACGCATTAGCATCGTCTGCTATCATGTCACAACTGTACACTGCGTGCGTTATAAATAGATGTATTTCAGTTTTTATCATTCAAAAAATGTTTGGTATAATTCCATAAAATTATGTTCACAACCTTAATAAAAGGCATGCCTTTACAATAGAGGAAGATATTTTTGTTTCTTATGTTCTCCTTAGATCTCCATCACAAATTTAGCTTCAAAATCATTTTGGTCTAGTATCAGTATCAACTTGGACGCGGAAGAGTATAGTGCACATCGAGTTTGTACACCTCATCTAACTATATCCAAAAAAAAAATTCTCCTTACTTCTAGTACGGTAATACTCATCAACGCCTGTTCAGCATCTAGATGAGGGTAAAGCATCATAGAGTTGTTATAGGATCTAGGTCTACATCTCTATGCGGTACAGTTCCTGTAAGAGAACTAAATGTTATGGCAAATAATTAGTTCGAATCCTACAAAAGGCCTATCATCAGTGTTAATAAATGTACATTTTATATCACAATTTTGCATGTAGATGTAGGCCTATTATTATTAATCATCATTTCATGGGGGCGGCCGGGGGGGGGGGGGGGGGCGGGGGCCGGGTGACCCTTTCCACCTTTTTCGGCGTTCATGCGTGTCAAATTGTCTGTATCCATGTAGATGTTGTGAACACTCGAGCTTTATTGAAATTCAGTTTAGTATGATCCATGCAATACTTTGACATTATATTTTTTTTATCAGGTAAAAAGTAAAAAAATAAAATATAGTGGCTATCAAGTTGACTTTGACGCTCTTGACGTTTTGTGTACGGGACTTAAACTACTTCACAAACAAGGAACGTAGTGCCGATCCGGGGGGGGGGGGGGGGGGGCGGTATCACATATTATGACATACGGGGGTGTACTAAAAATCCCTAAACATGGCCGGGCTCCTATTTTTAACAATAATACCATTAAAAACGGGTCTATTTTTTCAAAATGTCCAAAATTTTCGGGATTGCAAACGGCCCGAAAAACACCCTAAAATTGTAAAAAAATGTGCCTTATTTCCCCCCCCCCCCCAAAAAAAAATCCCAAATTGAATGACCCTTAAACTGGCGTTTCAAGGCTTCAGCGGCACACCCATCCAAACGAAATTTGAGTATCCCCCCCCCCCCCCCGGGATTGCCGAATGTGAACAAAAATGTTGAATAAGGTTAAAACTGACAAAATATAAATCAGTTTATCAAAATGAATTGTACAAAATAATAATAACACCATTAGGTATATATTCTACTGCGCTACAAGAGCTCCTGATATGCTTAGATTTACGGTACTGAGTTAATTAAAAAGATGTGTTTTCAGTTTTGACTTAAAGACGTTTACAGATGGTGATTTCCTGACTTCAAATGGCAAGTTATTCCAGAGTTTTGGGGCTGCACAAGCAAATGCTCGATCACCTAGCGTTATTTTTGTTTTGATAGATGGAATCTGTAGCAACAAAGTATCTCGGGAACTGCGCAAGTTGCGATTTTGTTGATTAGGTTTGAAATTCAACAGTTCTTTGATGATGGTTAATGCTTCAAGTTATAGGTTGATTCTATTATATCCAGCACGGCAAAATGACATGTAAAAAAATAATAATAAAAAATGAAATAATGCGATTTTCGGCATTTGAGAATACGTCCCACTTCTGTCCCATTTCATCCCCGGTTATATCACTGTCTGGCTACAATCACAGACTCTAATTTGAAACTTTACTACAATTTCTAAAGCCTTGGGCAGAGCCTCATCCGTCAGTTTCTGGCTGTGTCAGTCCATGGTGGCGGCCATTTGGTCAGAAGCAGCTATAGCATTTACGTAGTCTCATATAGTGCAGACAAGATTACGCACAATTATCGACAAGGCACGACGGTCTAGTACAAGCACTGTCCCATTCCACCATCCCGGGGATGAGTAAGGGGGACACTCACTCCCCTAGATAATGCTTAATTACATCCTAAAAATGATAGAGAGGTTGTCTGCATGTAATTAGGCCAAATAAAAAAAAAAACATGTTTAGCGTCCTGTTTTTTCGAAAAATAGGAAGGAGGCCCTTTTCTTCCTGATGGCCGCCGAATTTTTTTTTTTTTTTTTTCAGAAATAGAGCTAGTTTTAGCAGTGTTTTTCATGTTATTTTTCTTTTAAAAAATCAAAAATTAAAAATCAAAAATTAAAAAAAATTAAAAAAAAAAAAAAAAAATCAAAAAGAAAAAGAGGAGGCGGCCCCAAAAAAGGAAGCGGGCGGGGACGCTAAACATATATATATTTTTTTTACATGGCCTTATATATGGAGCCTTCAGCAGTAGGCGTATAAAATGGAAAGGCTGCCATCTATATTTACGAAATTACAAAGTAAGTCGGGACGGATCCAGGGGGGCACAGGGGGCACGTGTCCCCCCCCCCCGCCGGCCAAAAAAAATATGTTAAAATCGGCCCTAAATTCGCAAGAAATGCACTGAAAAACAGGGAGACGTGCCCCCGACCTACAAAATTAAATAAAAAATGTTATTTAAAAAAAAAAAAAAAAAAAAAATATATATATATATATATATATATATACCAAGGGCTGACCTAAAAAGATGACCTTACTCCCCCCCCCCCCCCCCCCGCTTATTGAGCGGCTGGCAGATTTGTTGCGATTTTTTGGGAACTAAAAAAAATATATATTATGTTCTCTTACCCCCCGTGTATTCCCCCATGTGCCCCCCCCCCCCCCCCCCCCGGGAAGAAATTCCTGGATCCGCCCCTGTATTATTTATATTTGATTTCAATCCGATACTTTTCCCAACTATAGTTTGGAGACTTGGTAACTTCCGAAAAATTATCTACTATGTAGCCCCTAAGTTAATCGTCATTATCATTGTTAGGCCTATAATTATTATTATCATTATTACTAATGTTATTATCATTATTATTAGTAATAGTTGTAGTAACAATTTTAAAGGGAAAGTCCACCCTGAAATTAAGTTAGTTTTAATAGGAGTAGAAAAATGAGAGAAACAAGTCAGTGAAAGTTTGAGCAAATTCCGATTAAAAATAAGGAAGTTAGGATTTTTGAAGTTGTGATCAATCAAACACAAATTAGGAACTCTATGACGTATCATGCGAGCTCAACTTGCATTTGCTCAGTACTAAAAAAATCTAAAATTTTCATTTTTCCTCAAGAAAAATTTCAACCATACATGCACCCTAAATATAATAATTGCAAATATGTTTCTATACTCCCCCTGCAAGGAACAAATATATATTCCGTCATCAATAACGAAGAAAACATGATTTTATGGAATATTATGCACAAAGCAAATGAAGGAGAGCTCGTATAATAAGTCACAGAGTTGCCAATTTGTATTTGATTGATCACAACTTCAATAATTCATAACTTTCTTATTTTCATTCAGAATTTGCTCAAACTTTCACTCACCTGATTTTCTTATTATTCTGCCTCTATCGAAACAAACTTATTTTGGGGGTGGACTTTCCCTTTAACAAGCGCACACTGGTCGCGCTAATCTCAGCACGTAAGCTTTCGCACACTACCGGGTGCCATACCTGTGTGGAGAGTGACAAAATAATATGTAACGGGCCTAGATCAATGTCTTGCCAACAATAATGGATGCGTAACTCCACTTGGCTTTAAAGTCGCTCTACTGCAGAGAATTTCGGAGGCCAGGCACCAGTTTCGGCAAACCCGGACTTTAGTGCCCCAGCTGAAAATCTCAGTTTATTATGGATTTAATATCAATAATATTAATTATGCTAATATATGCAAATATAAACATACCAAAACTTGATGATTTTTAATCATTTGACGTCATAAAAAGCAATTTTAAGCCAAAAATAGCAGCGAAGTAGGGATCTCCTCTTTGCTTGATGCGAGATACTAGCGAACTGAAATAACCATAGAGATATATACTACTAAACACTAGAGGGCGTACTCGCTCAAATTGCTGCTCCGAGCTGGAGCGGTGGCCGCCATTACTAAGGAGGGCAGAAAAACGGACGACCCAACAAGATACTGTGCACAACATACGTGGAAAAATTGAAGAAGCCAGGTTCGTGCGTTGCATTTGGATGTTCGAACCGAAGAAAGAAAGGGAACTGCATAATATTTCACAAGTAAGTTCTTCTTAATGTTATGTTGATTAATAAGGAGATTTTAGAGCTAAAAATGTAGTTTATGCAGATAATGCAGTGACTGTAGTCTGTACCCGGGTTGTCTCATGACAAGCCACGGCAGCTCCTGCAGCAGCGGAGCGCGCCAGTCCACGCCAGCCGGGCTGGAGCAGGCATGGGTTAAGGTTCTGGGGATGGTGATGGGAAAATTCTGCTGCGCTGGAGTCGCTCGCAACTCCAAGAGTCAGAGAGTCCAACTCGGAAATATAACTCCATGAGCTTGATTCTATTAAAGAAAAGTCTAGAATAAAATGATATAATTCATTTGATCTTATCTAATTTCAAGATAAATTAAAAATCAAATGTCAGCTTCTTTATATTTTAACTAGACTAGACTAGAGCTAGATGATAGATCTAGACTCTAGACTCTAGATCTAAACTCTAGTCTCTAATTTCTAAAGCCTGAACAGCAAAGCCAGGTTAGACAGAAATAACCGTCTGATATGGGTCATTTCTTTAATAAAACTGACATTTGTTGACATTCCCCATAATATAATCAGAGGTCTAGTGGAGCCAGACGCAGTCTCGGTAGAACAACCGACGATATAGAGAGACTGAAGCTTTTGGTC